TGTGGCCACAAGGCATGAAGGTTGTAAAATGGTTCACCCACAGCACCGAGCCAATCTTACGGCCTTTTTCTGGCAATTGCTAAGCAAACACCAAGCACATTAAGCGAACCGATTGTTCTCTATTTTGTCGAATACTGGAAATGAAATGCCTGTTTTCGGGGTGGGGAAAAATGGTATAAAATGTGGTCACATTGTTTGATGCTTCAAATGACTGTAAATGTGGACCAGTTGCCGAGTGCTTGAAATGCAATCCTTTGTTGGAACTTTGGAATCAGTTTGTAAATATCTCCCCAGGGAGGTTTGTTATAACTTGGAATGTTTGCTAAGTGACCGGCCATAAGTCGAGAACTACTGGCAGAGGTGGCAGTTCACTCTAGATATCAGCAGGAACCTTTTGGGTGCACAAACTGTCTGCCACTGAAAAAGATTGCTAGTTGATGTGATGAGTTCTCCTTTGTCCAGGTCCTCAAATCTGGTCATCCGTTAGAGATGCTACGGTGGCTCCTGTAGTAAGCAGGGCATTTTACAAAATGACTTCTCTGATTCCTTCTAACTCAGGGGCATCAAACTGGCGGCCCATGGGCCCAATGCGTCACGTGTAGGCCACGCCCACCCCAGCTCCACGAATGGGAAAAACATCACGAAATTTCACTTGGCGGCAACGTAACGCAGTGAGTTTGACACCCGTGTTCTAACTCAACAATCCACGGGAAAGTTGTCGGGAAGTCCTCTGATTTGACCTTCCGTGCTTTTTTCATTCCCACCCTCAAAGTGACAATTTTCCGGGGCTCACGCTGTCCTCTTCAAGGAAGAAGAGCAATTTATATCAGGTTTTTGTTTTCGGCTCCAGAGCGCGATAGAATTCAAGATTTGGAAGGAGAAGATTTCTTTCTCTTTGTTTTGTTTTATGTTAACATATAATGAGAACTTTGTGTGCGCTGCTAGCAGCAGTTCTATTAGAATGTGATTAATGTCAGTGTATAATTTTGACAAGCCAAGCATTCCTGTGGCATGCCTTGATCTTTTGAATTCCCCCCCTCTTTCTCTTTCTCTCTCTGGATCTTATTTATTTATTGAACAACAAGTAATTGTGGCTTATCTTTTATTTTAAAATATAGATTTTTGTCTAAAAGGACCCATATTTCAACACCGGGACATTATACTACATGTCTTTTTGGCAACCTTGAGGTCATTTAGACAATTGGGATTTGCCTACTGGGGAGAAAAAACCCTTCATTAGTAAAGACATTTTATCTGCCTAACAATCATCTGAAAAGAGAGAACTCTTGATATTTGAATGTTCTGCTTCTATATAATCAAGGTACAGACAATTGTGAACTAAGAAATCTGTACAAACATCATTGGATTATTGTGGAAAGAAGTTCAGAATTGTTTTGTCAGCCATCTTGGATTGGACCAGAAGTTCTGGGACATGCCTATAATTAGTGAACTCATCATTTCTTAAAACTTCAGGCAAATAAAAGAACAATGAAAGAGCAAACTGATGCCTAAAAATTAGATAAATGTCAAGCGCTGGGGAAATCAGGAGATTCAGGCAGTTTATTTATTTATTTGATTTGATTTTTATACCGCCCTTCTCCAGCAGGACTCAGGGCGGTGAACAGCCGAGATAAAACAGCGCATACAAAATTTAAAAACAGTTTAAAAGGTAATTAAATAATTTCGGCCCACAATTTAAAACAACCCAGTTAAAACCAATTTCAAATTAAAACCGAACGGATGGGATCAAGCCAGCCCAGCTAGGTGAAATAAATGAGTTTTCAGGGCCCGACGAAAAGTCCGGAGGTCTGGTATCGTGCATATCTCTGGGGGTAGGTCGTTCCAGAGGGCAGGTGCCGCCACAGAGAAGGCTCTCCCCCTGGGGGTCGCCAGCCGACATTGTCTGGCGGACGGCACCCTGAGTTCAAATGAGTATAAAGATTTAGTGCAAGCTTAAACTCTCTATAAAAATCTGACCTACTAACGGTCAAAGGAAATGAACAGGAGATAAGAGAGGCATTCAAGGTGGGCTGGATTTAGATCTCTTGTGGGCACACAGGGTCTTGTGATTTATGATGTGTTTGACTCCTCCTTCGGCCTCATCCTGGTCATCTCCTACAGATAGTATCTTTATGGAAGGCATTTTGTGGTGGACATTCACTACAGAGAAAGTGTTCATTGGGATTCCAGCTTGGATTATATGGATTTTATGGAGAACTAATGAGTGGAACTCCAAACTCAATGTTGTAGCACATGCACGTGCAGAGTGCATGTGGAGGCCACATGTTGTCCCCAAGGCATTTTTGTGAGCCCCCCCCCACAACCCCTTTTCCCAGCTTTCATGAATTTTCAGAAGTTAAAATTAAAGGGAGGGCTTTTAAGAGTGGAAAAGACGGAAGATGGAACATGGGAGGAGAAGGTAAAGTTTAATGGTGGGTGGGGGCTAAGAAAAATGTGCTTTTGATCTGAATATGCCCACTTCCTCTTTGTCCCACTCTCATGTTTATTCCAGTGCTTTCCACAAGACTCATGTGTGGTCTCCACAAAAGGCCACGCATTCTTATTGTTGCATTTTCCCAGAAAGCTTAGCAACCTTTCACCCTGGACTTATTCCATCCCATTCAGTCCTTTCTGGATAAGAAGGAAGAAAAAAAAAATCCTGGTTAAATTGGTTGTTATTTGAGCAATTATAAATTTGGGAAACTGGTTTATTTCAGCTTCTTTGGTAGATCTTCAGTTATGGCTTTGGGCTTGCTCCTTGCTGTAACTTATGCTTTGCCTTCCTAAAAGACATCTAAATACTAATATTAAACACTGCATATAAATATTAAAGATTATAATTAAATGGGTACTAATACCAAACCTGCAGCCAAGAAATTAAAAGACGCTTGCTCCTGGGGAGGAAAGCTATGGCAAATCTAGACAGCATACTAAAAAGCAGAGACATCACCCTGCCAACAAAAGTGCGTATAGTCCAGGCTATGGTTTTCCCAGTAGCAATGGATGGCTATGAAAGTTGGACCATAAGAAAGGCTGAGCGCAAAGAATTGAGGCCTTTGAACTCTGGTGCTGGAGAAGACTCTTGCGAGTCCCTTGGGCTGCAAGGCGATCAAACCAGTCAGTCCTAGAGGAGATTCCATTTAATCAAGAATGTAATGCAATAACTTTTATGAAGTATAAAGAAGAAAAGTGAAACACGTAGAAAAAATGAGATATACAAAAATTATCACCATAGAAAAAACAAGATATACAAAAATTATCCCCATGTCAGTTAATACTTAGTTAGGTAACCTTTAGCATGAATTATGGCCTTACATCTTCCCATGGAGTCTTTTAGTTCTGCAGCTTATAATGTGAAACCAAGATTGAATGATTGCTTCTATTAACTGGGTTTTATTGCTGGGTCGCTTCTGACTACCATGTTTCCCCAAAAATAAGACCCTGTCTTATATTTTTTTGAACCCTGAAATAAGCACTTGACCTTATTGCCATGCGCTCAAAAGCCCGATTGGGCTTATTATCAGGGGATGTCTTATTTTGGGGGAAACAGGGTAACAAGTTTCTTTAGTCGGCTCCATAGATTTTCAATAGGGTAAAGGTCTGGGCTATTCCCAGGCCATTCCAGCAGTGGAATAGGATTATCTTGAAACTCAAAAAAAAAAAAAGTGGTGTTATTAGCCATCAAACCTCAAAAATACACTTTTCCCAAAAGGTCTCCACAATTTTGGCCATGCCTGAAGCCTGTTTTACTCACGGACTGGGGAGAAGATGAAAGTAACATGGCAGAACAGGGTGCCAGGGAGAGATAGTATACTGATTAGGTGCAAGTGAAGAGAAGGCTTAAGAACTGAAATCTATAACTCATTCCGAGCAAGCAACTTATATACTTATAACACCAGAAAGGCTGGGCTAGGAGGAACACTCCGTTTTATAAAATAGTAGCTGGGTAGTGCGTGATAGAGAAGTCCCATCAAAACTAGATTAAAATAACATCAAAGAATGAAAATAAGTGAATTCTGAGTTTAACTATGAACCTGTCTTTCCTGCTGTGTATCTGGATACTGCAGGAGCCTCAAAACCTTGATTAGCTTAGACACCAAAGGCCTGAACGATACTGTGGATCGGCTCACGCAGTTGTAGATGGCATCAAAGCAATTGCAGACGGAAGACAAGAGTAGGCTGTAACCAATGCTACCATGCCTCATCAGTATCGGTGGGGTGTCCTAAAAACTTTAAAAAAAATATATACTCTATATCTCCGCCATTCCCACAATTTACTAATATCCATCTTCTACAGTCTGCTAACGTTGAAATATATTGGGGCTTAAGCTCACAACATTTCCAGCCAGTGTACTCCTGTTGTGGCCCACCAGCGGCCTGCGCGGATCGTGGCTGATCCCGACGACGAGGAGGCTGGTGTGGGGTCACGCCAGCAGCCTGCGCAGCCAGCACTCACGTTGGACAGCGAGGAGGCTGAAGAGGATGTGGTCCCAGAGGCAGAGACTCAGCCTGGGCCTTCAGACCCTCCAGAGGCTCCTTCAGGTGGAGAGACCGAAGTGGAGGAGCCTCTCCTCAATGCTCGAGCACGCAGGGCTGCCAAAAGGCAGGAGTGGCTACTCAGGAGGAGGAGATCTCCTCGAGAGTAAGGTTTGAGGATAATTGGCCACTCCCTTAGCCTATTTAAATCGCACGCAGTTAGTAATTTCTTGCTGGAAACAACGTGTAATTATTAAAGAGCATTTTTGAAGAGTGAGTGTCTTATCGTATCTTGTCTTCTGGGCTGTTGCCAACCTTTGCCGGACTTTGTTTATTCTTGGTACATTATAACTTTGATAAGGACCGTTGGTGTGTGTCACAATCCTTGGGAATCCGGAGCTGGGGCAGAACAATTCCTAACATCTGGAGAACAATGTAGGCAAAAGCCAGCTGATATTGTGATAGTGTTTTCATGGCTCAGGGGGATGGGCACATGAAGAGGATGATTCAGGATATTATAGATATAAGTTAGAGAATAGAATTCTTTATTGGCCAAGTGTGCTTGGACACACAAGGAATTCGTCTTTGGTGCATATGCTCTCAGGGTACATAAGGAGAATAAAATACATTCATCAAGAATAGAAAGATACAACACAGTGATAGTCAAGGTTACTAATAAGCTATCAAATCGTACTTGGAAAAAAAAATATAAATTGAAAGATACAAGCGACATGGTTATAGTAATAGGTGGGAAGAGATACAATAGATACTAGTAAGGAACAGAATAATAATAATAATACAGTCTTAGTAAATTATTTGACAGTGTTGTGGGAATTAGTTGTTTAGCAGAGTGATAGCATGGGGGAAAAAACTGTCCTTGTGCCTAGGTGTGCAGTGCCCTATAGCGTCGTTTTGAGGATAGAAGTTGAAACAATTTATGTCCAGGATGCGAGGGGTCTGTAAATATTTTCACAGCCCTCTTTTTGACTCGCGCAGTATACGGGTCCTCAATGGAAGGCAGGTTGGTAGCCATTGTTTTTTCTGCGGTTCTAATTATCCTCTGAAGTCTGTGTCTGTCTTGTTTAGTTGCAAAGCCAAACCTGGTCAATGGGCCAGGCGTTATCCTGTGCTGGAAACTGATTTTTCCTTTTTTCCCCCTCCACAAATCTTTAGACTTGACATGTGTAGAAATGATGTGCGTTTGATTCAAAGACTAGAAGGGGCTTCTAAATACTCCGGAGATCATATTCTTGCTCAGGAGAAGACACAGCAAAGACCAAAGGTATGAAAGCAAAACTTGACTCTTGCAACATTAAGCCGTAATGTCTTTCGGCTTAGCATGTCCTGTGAATCACGGTTAATTTAAAACGATGGAGCGTTGTCTGGATTCCCAGAAGGGAGGGGCTGATTTCCGGAGGAGCAAGAGACAACACCGTTTAGATGGTTTGTGTGAGAGAAAGAGAGTGAAGGCAGCTCCTCCTTAAAAGTCCCCAGAGTATATGCTTTATGATGCATGTATTCTGCTTTTCTTTTGAAGGATTTCTATTTATAGTGAAGAACAATAGAGAAATTTGCTTAGAAGAATGTAAATCTTGGGTTTTGGAGCCTGATAGTTAAGAAGATCATAACTTTTTGCAAGGATGTGCAACCCAGCCACCAGACCTACCCAGTGGTGAAATGCTCTGAAGTCTGCTACCGCTTCGCTTCGCTACTGGTTTGCTGTGTGCACGCATGCACAGTGCGTACCAAATGCACACTGTATGTGCTACTGCGCAGCACTGAAAAAGGACGATTAAGAAACCTTTTCTAAGGTAAGTAGAACAGCGGGGGGGGGGAAACAGCTGTGCCGTGTGATTTAGATTCCCTAGAAAGTAGGATTTCCTGCTTTCTAGCGAATATAAATCGTGCAGCACAGCTGATCATCGGAAATACCGGTTTGTCTGAACTGGTATCTTTTATTACTACCGGTTCAGTCGAACCGGTCCGAACTGGGAGCATTTCACCCCTGGACCTACCTAGCAATTTCTTTTAAAAAAACCACCCAGAAAATTGCTATAAATGCCCTTCCCCCAAATAGGGGCGGGCAATTATTATCCTTTACATCCTGTGGACTTCAACTCCCAGGATTCCTGAGCCAGTATGTCGGGCTCAGGAATTCTGGGAGTTGAAGTCCACAAGTTATAAAAGGGGTCATAATTATCCCTGCTCTGGAATGATCAAATATGGTCTAAAACAGTACAACAGAACAGCTTGATATATTTCTCTCCAAAGCAGGGGTGAAATGCTCCTGGATCAGACCGGATCGCCCGATCCGGTAGCGATTTTTCCCTCTGGTTCAGCGATCCGGTAGCAATCGCCGCCTGGGTGTCATTACTTCCTGGTTTTAATCACGAAGTAATGTTTTTTTACCTTCTGCGCATGTGCAGGTGTGTGTGCACATGTGACACACGCAAGCGAAGCGAGCACATGTGCATGTGACGCAAGCAAGCAAAGAGAGCGCGTGCGCACGGCGCATGTGCTTCCAAACCAGTAAGGAAGGTAAGTAGATTTCACCCCTGCTCCAAAGATTTTTTTTTTAAAAAAAAACATAGCCAATGTTCGGGTCTCATTTTGGATTACATCCTTCTGTAAATGCACGGGGAAACATGCCTTTGAAGTCAACAAGATGGGAGGGTCAGTGTATGGGATCCACGTCTCCTCCATGTTCAAAACGCCAGTGTGCTTTGTATTCTTCCCTTCCTATGGACTTTAACGCTCAGCGTAGAATATTTTTCTAGGAACAGCCAGCCAAGCCATTTCCTTCCCAGAACATGTTTCTGGCATCATCTATGGCTGGCTGTTTGCTGGACTTGACAACGTGCCAGACATTAGCATCTTTATGTATTCCTGATTCAGGCAGAGCTCCAAAAGTAAGCGATGGAAGTCCTGCCCAGACAAACACTTACAGAATTACTCCCAACCTTGGAGATCAGACTATATAAAGCTACACAAAGAGCACACTGGTGTTCTGAGCTTTTGCAGAGAAGGGCCCCTTCATGGATCTCCACCACCATGGCTATTTCTTCACTTTTGTTGTTGTTGTTGCTGTTGTTTTTCCACTATGGTCTACTTCAAAAAGAAACACAGCAGCATGGATGTTCACCACCCCACTGTTACTTTTCCTGGATCAAGGGGGCATGGATCAGGTGGCATGGAAGAGTGGCACAATTGTCTTCTATTCAACTGCCTAGCTCTGGTGGTCTCTGAATGTGATAGGAATCTTAAAAGTCCTCTCAGTGGTTGCCTCAAACAAGATGTACTGAGAGATCAATCCAAGAATCGAACCTAAGACGTCAAGTCAGGGAGCTATAAAAAACTCAGAACCAAGGGAAATAATTGTCCCAGACAAAAGAACCGAGGTCTTTGAATGATGGTGCTGGAGAAGACTCCTGCGAGTCCCTTGGACTGCAAGGCAATCCAACCAGTCAGTCCTAGAGGAGATCAACCCTGACTGCTCTTTAGAAGGCCAGATCCTGAAGATGAAACTCAAATACTTTGGCCACCTAATGAGAAGGAAGGACTCACTGGAGAAGAGCCTAATGCTGGGAACGATTGAGGGCCAAAGAAGAAGGGAATGGCAGAGAACGAGGTGGCTGGATGGAGTCACTGAAGCAGTCAGCATGAGCTTAAATGGACTCCGGGGGATGGAAGAGGACAGGAAGGCCTGGAGGAACGTTGTCCATGGAGTCGGGATGGGTCGGACATGACTTCACAACTAACAAAAACAACAAATGTCTTCTTAGGAAGTCCTTCCTTTTGAACATAACAAGTGGTCAGTTTGAGTGGACGGAGCTGTCCGAAACAAGGAAAAGTTTGATTGCCCTAAGAGATAACAGAATAACAGAGCAAGAAGGAACTTTGGAAGCCTTCTAGCTTAGCCATCTGTTCAAGCAGGAGGTCCTATAGCATTTCAGACAAATGGCTGTCCAATCTCTTCTGAAAAATCTCCAGTGATGGAGCACCTACCACTTCTGGAGGCAAGTCGTTCCACTAATTAATTGTTCTCCCTGCCAGGAAATCTCTCCTTAGTCCTAGATTCACATCTAGATATACTAAATATTGTAACCTTTTCTTGCCTAGGAAGCTATAAATGAGAATCTGGCCTATTCTGGACATCTGAAATGAGATGAGAGTATCAGGTTCAATCCTGTTGGTGGTCTAGTGGGCAAAATCTCCTGAAGAACTCTGACACAGCCTATGTCAATCCAATATGAGGCCAGCTGGTAGTCCAACCTGTTGTTGTTGTTGTTGTTGTTGTTGTTGTTAGTCGCGAAGTCATGTCCGACTCATCACAACCCCATGGATAATGTTCCTCCAGGCCTTCCTGTCCTCTACCTTCCCCCGGAGTCCATTTAAGCTTTTTGGATGAGAAGTGAAATGACTTCAAAGAAAAGAAACAGGTAAGTCCAGTTGCCTCTTGCAAAAGTACCTTTGGAACATCTGATGGAATTAGTAAGATACACCAAAAAAGCCACATGAACAATATTTCCTCCAGGATTTGAGGGAGATTTAGCAAAGTTACCTTCAAGTTCCATCTGAAGTTGGAGCAGAAGAGGCATTCAAACTTGGTTCTTTTCACCCTGCATCAGATGGGTTGGGATTCCCTGTGCTGTAGGTGTCTTTGTTTTATTTATCAGGAGCTTCTTTTGGACATCTCCTTCATCTTCCCCATCTAAGTTTCTTACTTTCCAGGCCAGTACCGGTGTCTAATGAAAACCAGGAGAAGTCTTGACAAAGGTCAAGTGCCAATGTAAAATCAGGGTACAGCAAATTCCAAATAGACCTTTTCTGTCTCCATGTGTGTTTGGCCTGGCACACAGAATATCCCTCATGCTCAAAACAATAATGTGAAACATTCTTGTTCCCTTCTGAATCTCTGCCAGAGAGAAATCACATCCAGGCAAACAAGGAAAATGAAACGGAATCATGTGCCATAATGGGAATCGAGAGAAAACAGAACGATAAGATGTCTTTAAAAAGAGAGGGGGAGGAGAAGACAGATGAAAATGCGAAAAACAGAGAAGAAAAGTGTTTGTGAATGGAATGTGGTCAATGAAAGTTGGGAAAAGGAGACATTACCATTTGTGGGCCAAGTTGACCATTAGCCTCGCGAAGTAGCAATCCTGTGTGGCTCAGGAGCTGCCATTCAAATTGAGTCGATAGGACTGGGAGAGTGGTTTCTCCCCACAGCATTGAAAAATATTGTTGAATTTGTTTGGGTGGGAAAATTGGACAAGCTGGCATTTTTCAGACAATAGGATGGTGGCCTTCAATGGTCCCATGACTAGTCCAAGCCTAGGAAAACGAGATGAGGAGATATCTTGAGAACCCGCTAACCGAGATGCTCGTACATGGATCCTTCCTAACAAAATGAGACAGGCTTTTCTCTTAGGGATCATATCACAATTGGAAAAACCCTTCCACAGCTCTGAATAGAATAGCGTAGAGTAGAGTAGGGTAGGGTAGGGTAGGGTAGGGCAGGGCAGGGCAGGACAGGACAGGACAGGACAGGACAGGACAGGACAGAATAGAATAGAATAACAGAGTTGGAAGGGACCTTGGAGGTCTTCTAGTCCAACCCCCTGCTTAGGCAGGAAACCCTACACCACTTCAGACAAATGGTTATCCAACCTCTTCTTAAAAGCTTCCAGTGTTGGAGCATTCACAACTTCGAGAGGCAAGTTGTTCCACTGGTTAATTGTTCTGACTGTCAGGAAATTTCTCCTTAGTTCTAGGTTGCTTCTCTCCTTGATTAGTTTCCACCCATTGCTTCTTGTCCTACCCTCAGGTGCTTTGGAGAATAGCTTGGCTCCCTCTTCTTTGTGGCAGCCCCTGAGATATTGGAAGACTGCTATCATGTCTCCCCTAGTCCTTCTTTTCATCAAACTAGACATACCCAGTTCCTGCAACCGTTCTTCATATGTTTTAGCCTCCAGTCCCCTAATGAAGATATTATGATTCATCCAAGTGAAAATCTCTAGGATTTTCTGGGGCAGAAGGAAAAGGGGAACTTCAATGGGTTCCTATTGGAAAAACAAAGATGCTATCCTGGTGCCATTCATAATGTGAATCACAGGAGGAGCAGTGGTGGTTGACACAGAGAGATGGTTCCCCACCACCACCACCACTACCGTCGTTCTCATCATCCAGCTGAATTCAAGTATCTCAGGGAGGGTTCCTGCTTTAATTACTTCTCTTCTGTAGGGTCTGGCCTTACTTCTGCCAACAGAGTTGTGGGGATTTAATTTGGGATTTAAAAAATTGCTTATAGGGAGCTGGAGTGAAGCAGAAAGAAGCTAAGCATAATTGGTGGGGGATGGAGTTTCCTGGATGATTCCCCCCCCCATTATAAAGGTTCCTGGATGGTTTTACACAATCTGTTCCAATCACTGTGGCCGTTCGTGTTGGGGGGGGGAATAAAAGCTATAAGGTATTCCCTTATATGGCTAAACAAGAGAACCTATGCAGAGCCTGGTTGTAACAATTAAGCAACGATGCAAAGAATGCTCCCCTGAGTTAAACCCTGAAGGTCATTTAAGCTGGGGCTGATGTTCAATTTCCTTCCCCCTGGGGTTGGGAAAAATATATTGACCATGAAGGGGGAATGTTAGAAAAACTCTTCTAAGGTTACTCTTTAGCCTGAGAAGTGGCTGGTTTTGAGATCAGAAAGCTGGAATGCTGCTGATGCTGTTGAGTCATGTCTTTGCTTCCAAATCTTTTTGACCTGCTGGACATCAAAGGAAGTCCTTCTTTGAATCGCTGCAAGCTCAGGCCCTCTTGGATTATCTTCCCTTCCCTTCCCTTCCTTTCCCTTCCCTTCTTTTCCTCTTCCCTTCCCTTCCCTTCTTTTCCCTTCCCTTCCCTTCCCTTCCCTTTCCTTTTTTCTCTTCCCTTCCCTTCCCTTCTCTTCCTTTCCCTTCCTTTCCTTTCCTTTCCCTTCTCTTCCCTTCCTTTCTCTTCTCTTCTCTTCTCTTCCCTTCCTTTCTCCCTTCCCTTCCCTTCCTTTCTCTTCCCTTCCCTTCTCTTCCTTTCCCTTCCTTTTCCTTTCCTTTCCCTTCTCTTCCCTTCCCTTTCTCTTCTCTTCCCTTCCCTTCCCTTATTTTCCTTTCCCTTTCTCTTCCCTTCCTTTCCTTCCTTCCCTGTCTGCTTCCTTGCTACCTCTCTGTACTCCTTCTCTCTCTTCCTTCCCCCCTCCCTTCCCTCCCCCTTCCCCTCCCCTCCCCTCCCCCTCTTTCTTTCTTTCTTTCTTTCTTTCTTTCTTTCTTTCTTTCTTTTTCTCTGTCGTCTCTCTGTCTCTCTGTCGTCTCTCTCTCTCTCTCTGTCTCTCTCTCTCTCCAACTTTCGATAAACCTTTGTGCGGGTTGCTCTTTTTCCAAGCAGCTCCAGGGTAACATTGGCAAAAAAAGAAAAAGGAAAAAAAAAGAAGAAAAAAAAGAACCACGCTGTAAAAGTTTTCCTTCTCCTTTTTTTCTGATCTCGTTGCCAGAGAAGTCTAGAATTTCTACCTTTCCCCCCTTTTTCCATTTTCTTTTCTTTTGAAACCTGAGGCAAGAGAATTCAGTCTCGCTTGCTAACGAAAGGAACAGAGTTTGACCACTGGGTAATATTATATCTCCACCATGTTCAGGTCATAGTGGTCACTCTTAGTAGGCATCTAAAGGCTGTGTTCTCGGGCCTACATTTGCTGTGATGAAAATGCATGTGTGGTTTTGGGGGCACATCCTTTTTATCATGTGTGGCACGACCCCCACAAGACTACTGAGCCAATTCATGCCCCAAAACTGGTCTAGAACTGCCTTTGTTTCCATTTGAGAAAGATGAATGTCTGGAGAAACCGTTTGTAGCCAACACAGCTCCTTTGATTTGGTTTAAAAAGAGTTTTCCCTTTTTAACTTCCCTGCCTGCCTTGTTTTTGGTCAAAACGGCTACATTCAAACTAAGTGGAAAAAAAAATATTTTCTAAGTGTAGGAAGTTAAAAAATCTCATGAGCAGCCTATTGGGTATACAAAAGCATTCCAATGAATCCTCGCTTACCGACTGTTCTGCCCCAGCTACGGACCCCAAAGAATGCAGCACACACAAACTCTATACAAAGCTTATTTTACTCAAATAACTCAGTCTTTTTCAACCAAAGGCTGTTAATAAACTGTCTTAACAGCCTACCAGAATTCTAAGATAAGGTAATCACAGTCTTACTAGGGTTGCAGAAAGCCCAGAAGCAATTTTGCAGAGAAGGAGAGCGAACTAAAGTTGTTCCCTACAGCTTGCTGCAATCGGCGTTCTTCCTTAAATAGGCTAAGGAAGTGGCCAATTAGCCCCAAGCTTTACTCTCGAGGAGACCTCCTCCTGAGGAGCCACTCCTGCCTTTTGGCAGCTCTGCGTGCCCATGCATCAAGAACAGGCTCCTCGTCGTCGTCCTCTTCACTTAAAGGAGCTTCTGGAGGTTCTGAAGGCCCTGGCTGAATCCCCGCCTCTGGCACCACATCTTCTCCAGCCTCCTCACTGTCCGACTCGAGCGCCAGCTGCATAGGCTGCTGGCGCAGGACCACACCAGACTCCTTGTTGTCGGAATCAGCTACAATCTGCATAGGCCGCTGATGGGCCACAACACCGACTGGCCTCATTTAGTGAGCATGCCTTAAGTGAGGACGGCATTAAAAACACAGGGAGTCCTCAATGTACGACTGCAATTGAGCCCAACATTTACGTTGCTGAGCGAGACATGTGTTCAGGGAGGTCTGACCCATTTTACGGCTTTCCTTGCCACATGGGTCAAGTGAACCATTGCAGGTCTTGAAATTAGTGACATGGTTATTAAGTGAATCTGGCTTCCCTGTTGACTTTGCACTTTCGCAAAAGGGGATCACATGACCCTGGGACACTGCAACCGTCATAAATATGAGTCAGTTGTCAAGCATCCAAATGTAAATCGCGTATTCTATTCTATTCTATTCTATTCTATTCTATTCTATTCTATTCTAATTCTATTCTATTCTATTCTATTCTATTCTATTCTATTCTCTATTTATTCCAGTCTCCTGTTCTGTTCTATTCTATTCTGCTCTATTCTATTCTATTCTATTCTATTCTATTCTATTCTATTCTATTCTCTATTTATTCCAGTCTCCTATCCTATCCTATCCTATCCTATCCTATCCTATCTATCCTATCTATTCTATTCTCTATTCTATTCTATTCTATTCTATTCTATTCTATTCTATCTATTCTATTCTATTCTATTCTATTCTGGTCTCCATCTGCTGATGATCTTAACTGGGACTTATTTTTGGGGTAAGGCTTATATTTCGAACATCCTGGAGGAAAAAAATCATGCTAGGGCTTATTTTCCGGTTGGGTCCTATTTTCGGAGAAACAGAGATAGGAGCCGACAGCCTATTTCTAAGTTCCTTCCACCCTTGTCAGTTTCTGAAATCCTTCCAAATTCTGGAGAAGGATCCAGGTGACCCATAGCATGTGATCTCTGCGACTTACAGAATAAAAGAGGGCCTGAAGATCATTTCATACGAGCATCTTTTGATTTCCTGGGAGATTTGGTGCGCTGCCCATCTATCCTTCTCCCTGTGTTAATATTATCTTTATAGTCCTAAGAAGAGATTAGCTGTTTCGCCCCTCAAGCCAATCATTAGAAAGATAGATCTTCTTAACAGCTATTATGCTGATTTGTTTTGAAAAGATGAAGGAACTCCACTTTGCATCTTATGTTAATATTGGGATTATTTCTGGTGTACAAACACCCTTGATGTCTCAAAACGTACAGCAGTTAAGAGGGGAAGAAAGGGGCGAAAAGTCAAAAGGAAACCTTGCAAGAGTTTACATCAACGGAAAAAAACATTCCCACGGCCCTGAAAAAAACCGATTTATGTCCATTTTTCACACTTATGACCTTTGCAGCATCCCCATGGGCATGTGATTTACATTTGGATGCTAGGCAACTGGTTCATACTTATGACGGTCGCAGAGTCCCTGGGTCAGGTGGCCCCCTTTTGTGACCACCTTGGCAAGCAATGGGAAAGCCAGATCCGCTTAACAACAATGTTACTAATTTCACCACAAGTGCAGGGATTCACTCAACCAATGTGGCGAGAAAAGTCGTTAAGAGGGAGCGACATAAATTCTGGGCTCAGTTGTGGTCATAAATCGAGAACTACCTGTATCAGGTAGAGAGTTACATCCTTAACAGAGCATGGTGCAGGTATTTTGGCTACGTTCTCATGGCTTTAAATTTTTATACAGGTAGTCCTCGACTTACAACCACAACTGAGCCCAACATTTCAGTCACCAAGTGAGACAGTTGTTAAATGAGTTTTGCTCCATTTTCAACCTTTCTTGCCACAGTTGTAAAGTTGTATTCTGCAAAGTGTGTTGAGAATAACAAAAAAAATTCCATATACATTCCATTTAAGGATATTGTGTAACACCTTCTTGTTTTCTGGATATTCTTCCTTTCTCCCTCCCTCCCTCTCCTTCCTTCCTTCCCCTCCCTCTCCTTCCTCCCTCTCTCTCCTTCCTTTCTCCCTCCTTCTCCTCTTTCCACTTCCTCCTCCCTCCCTCCCTCCCTCTCCTTCCTTCCTTCCCTCCCTCTCCTTCCTCCCTCCCTCTCCTTCCTTTCTCCCTCCTTCCCTTCTTTCCACTTCCTCCCTCCCTCCCTCCCTCCCTCTCCTTCCTTCCTCCCTTCCTCTCCTTCCTTTTTCCCTCCTCCTCCCCTCTTTCCATTTCCTCCCTCCCTCCCTCTCCTTCCATCCTTCCCTCCCTCCCTTTCTTCCCTTTCTCTCCTTCCTTTCTCCCTCCTTCTCCTCTTTCCACTTCCTCCCTCCCTCCCTCCCCTCCCTCCCTTTCTTCCCTCCCTCTCCTTCCTTTCTCCCTCCTTCCCCTCTTTCCCACTTCCTCCCTCCCTCCTCCCTCCCTCCCTTCCTTCCTTCCTTCCTTCCTTCCTTCCTTCCTTCCTTCCTTCCTTCCCCCCATTGACTTTGCTTGTCAGAAGGTCATAGAAAGGGACGGAGGGCTGCCTGTACCACAAGGATGAGAACAACCTCCGCGCACCATCCAAACGTTGGAAGTTAACCAAGCGGTTGAGTGGGTCACCGCTCCATCACCCTCCCCCCCCCACCCTTTTCATCGCTACCATCCAAATTTGCAAGACGGAGACGGAAGCCCTCCTCTCTCGTGTGTCGCCTCTGCCAGAGCCCCTTGTAAAATCCAGGATGTATTTTGGGAACATCTTGGGACGCCTCTCCCCAAACCTTGTGCCCCCCTCCCCCCCTCCCCCCCCATACAAACCCACGCACGTTTGTTAACCGGCTGTGGCCTCCATCCCTCCGCTGCCTGTTGAAATATGCGGCTGGGGTAGCAGGAAGTGTTTGTCAAGCATTTCCCTGCTTTTCATTACGCAAGGCAGTTCTCAGGGGAGAGGAATCTTAAGTTCTTTGAAGTCCTTTGTGATGGCTGTCTAATCTGTGGAAGAGGATTACTTTTTCTGCCAGGAGCACATGACAGCTCGGTAATTAATGAGCATCATAAAATTATATTTTACCATTGGATACCCATTAGAAAACCCGGGACGGTTGTCATCTCAGACAAAACCATGCCGATTCTCAATTTATCCCAACATCAAAGGGAATCTCCTACTGGCTTCCTCCTGAATGCTCTAATTGTGTTTGCGTTTGGTGCGGATGGTGCTGAGACAAGACTTGGTGGGGGGGTGGGGGGTGGAGAGAGAAAGGCACAAGGTCCTCTGATTTGCTACACGGCCCCAGACTTCTTT